TTAGGACGATATTTGACAGGAGCAGAGGTGGAAAGTAATGAAGTACAAATACATATGTTACTGTACTTAAGTAGACTTTTCAGGTATCTGCACTTTACTTGAGTAGTTTGTCTTCCGACTACTTCTTACTTTTCTTCCCTACATTTTTGAAACAGGCTTGTTTGCTTTAACACATTTGAGACGAGTTATATTATGAAACATGCTGCGAAACAAAGTGACGTACTTCAGCTGTTACTGGAGTATTTTTTAACACTAGTATCTGTACTTCTACTTAACTACAGAATGTCTCTGATAAAGTTGTGCCACCTCTGGACAGGAGTCTCAACCAGACCATTAAAACCAAACAACTGGTGACACTTCTGTTTCAGTTAGTGTGAACTTGGTCTTTAATGTTATTCCTCGAACCCCGGGCTGACCTGCTCGTGTTGCTGTTTCTGACTCACAGATAACATTCCCGAGATGTCCGGCACCAGCTCGGAGAGCGAGCTAAAGAAGGAGGCGCCGGTCATCCCTCCCCGACCCAGCCCAGAGCTCATCTTGGAGCGCTGCACCGACAACACCTGCAAGAAAGTCAGCATCCACAAGTCACCGTCCAGCTCCTCAAGCTAGCACAAAAAAGATTTGACGGAGCAATCCTTACAGAGCCGTTTTGTTAACAAGAGTCCTAGTTTTAGAAGACCTTCATGTTTTGAGTTTTTAGATATATTACAAGGTGTGGATAAAAGGGCTGGAAATGTACTATGATTTTCTAACTGCCATCAAACACATGGAAAGACCAAAAAGCAGCCACGTGTCAGTAAGTTATTCATTGGTTTGTGAACACGTCTTTAATTCAGCCTTTCAAACATTTCCTCACTTCTTAGGACGAAACGTGTTTTTCTGGAATTGTTTTCAGTGGCGTAATAATCCATATTTTCTAGCAGATGGACGGTCAGAGTAAATGACAAGTGTAAAGTTACGTGGTTTGACTTTAGGCAGCAGTACATTTTGTTTCAGAGCTTTATCTTTTAAAGACTCCATGTTTTATATCTTTGGACTACCAGAGCAGCTTTGTATGATTCGAGTCCAAAATAATGCCTGTTTGTCTTACACTGGGCTTGAGCGCAGCTCCTAAGTTACTCCTCTGTCTAACATAAGCTGTTTTAGCTCCTCCTCTTTTTGCTTTCTTCTGATTGGCTGCCCCTCACAAACAGGTCTGAATAGCAGGTTGTCTGCTGTAGATGTTAATCTCAAAGATAACACCATTAAATTTTATTATGATTATAAGCAGTATTGAAACTCTGACCCACCTGCACCATTAACATGTAAATTTGGAACTTTGGTGATAAAAGAATAACCGTGTCTTTGGCACATTTTTATTAGTTATCTGGGGGTAAAAATGCTTTGTTTTGTTGTAATTTGTAAGCTTATTTTTAATTTATGCCAAATATCAGCACAAAAAAAAGGTTTCGGAATAAGTAAATACCTGCATTTGTGGAGCATCACCTCACCTTTTTATTTGCTTGTTGTCCTATTTAAAGTGTACATGTTACGCGACTCTGACTGTCATACCTCTATTTTTTTTGTAAATTGCTTTATAAAGTATAAAAAACAGTTCGAGGTGTTCACTGGGTAATTTACTTTTATTAGAAAATAAAGGCCATTGCACAGCACATGTGCTTTATGTACATGAAACACTTTATGTAATTTTTGGTGATTCAGTCATCTGTGGTTGCAAATTTTAAAGCCATCCTGATATCTTCTCCCACCAACGATGTGGAGATCCAACTTTTTTAGATCCAGTTAAAATCAAGGTACTCAAACAGATGCTCTGGAAAAATTCCAGAATTCTTGGAACAGAGTTTAATACACCGAATCATATGAACAGCAAGAAAATACATACAAGGTATAGCAAGACAACACTTAGCAAAGCAAGCAAAGTAAACCCCAGGTTGTAGGGCCTTAAGCACAGACAGCAGAGCAACACAGAGACGGACGCCTCTGGTCCTCTAATATATGGGGACCAGTATCCCCGCCCCCTGCTGCAGCGTAACTTTCCCACCCGTCCTCCAGCCAAACACAGCTGCAGGCTCAGGTAGCAGCCAAGGTCCTGGCCAGAGGCCAGTCAGGACTGGCTACGCTTTTGGCTTTGGCTTTTCACAATAGGTCATGACACGGTAAAACATTGCACATAAATCCTAATTATTAAATCTTACACAGAAAGTGGCATAATCTTATAATATACAATCTTATAACTACATAGGTTACATGCTTAACACTGTGATTCTCATACATTAAAACACTTCAGTTCAAAGTGTGTGTGTGTGTGTGTGTGTGTGTGTGTGTGTGTGTGTGTGTGTGTGTGTGTGTGAGTAATTATATTGTATGATATTTTATTGTGATGTGCTCAGGATCTCTGTTACAATGTTACTATTTTGGTTGTGTTGCATGAAAGACATTGAGTGTGTATTGAGAGAGGTTAGTTACCAGATCTGGAGAGTGAGTTATTCAGGAGAAATTCTCTCCTTACATTAACTGCCCTGTTACTGTACCACCTTAATAAACCATGTCCTTAAGACTCTACGTGGAAGTTAAAATATATGTTCAGTGCAGATAAGGTAAGGTAAGGTTTATTTATCAAGTGCTTTTCGTAGACAGGCAGTCACAAAGTGCTGTACACAAAGGTTAAAATAAAGAAAACATTAAGTAATAAAGTAGACAATATAAACAATGCAAATTCAAAACAATTCAACAATTCTATCTATATATAGTGTATATAGTTATATAGGTATAACTATATACATGTCACACAAGTCCACCACACATACTGCCATCATTACGTATTCGCATAATTAGTGACTGTTTCACTTTGAGTTTGTTCGATAAAACCAAAATAATTAACAATTTTGATGTAAAATTATGAAGGGAAAAGAAATTTAAAAAACAGGATGACCCCGACGTGATTTGAACACGCAACCTTCTGATCTGGAGTCAGACGCGCTACCGTTGCGCCACGAGGTCTTGTGTGCAAGCAGTGGGTATATGGTCATATAAGCACCATTCATGCTAAAGTCTTTTTTTAAAATTTATATCACAGTAAAAGACATGTGCTACCGTCATTTGTAGCATCACGAAACAAAAGCGACATAAAGCCGCCGTCATGTGTCGCGTCGCTGTCGTTCTGCAAGGTAAAGCTAGCGAAAGCCGCTAGCGAAGGGCTAACGGCTAAGCGACGCTTAAAAAGCAGGGCTCTAAAGTAGTTAAAAGTGAAGGGGGTTGTTAGCTTTGTGTCGCCGTCAGTGTACCGATATAACAGACAATGAACAGTTCTTCTGCTCGTTGATTAATATTAGCTACTGCACATAACCATCTCATATAACGTATATGTACTGTACTATGAATCGACCTGGTGACACTTGCTTGATATCTGTCCCTGGTGGTCTAGTGGTTAGGATTCGGCGCTCTCACCGCCGCGGCCCGGGTTCGATTCCCGGTCAGGGAACATTAGTTTTATAATATTGCTTTAATTACATGAATTTACAAACTTTTTTTTAAATGAAAAGTGATTCTTTAGTTATTTATGTCAGTATGCACAGCACAAGATTCACTAAAGCAAAGATACTCTCAGGCTGTTGTATCTTTGGTGCATCTTAATGTTCCCTGCAGAGAGATTGCGTGTTCTGGCGTGCTGCATAAGGGCACGACAAGTCATTCAGAATTAATAAAGCGAGAAGAGGAAGTCAGGTGATTAAAACTTCCCTTCAAAATAAAAACGCAGTTTCACATTAGAAACGTCTTTCACCTGTCAGAGGAGCAGGGTCAGCAGGACACCATATGCATTGGATGGGTAACCAATTATGTCACTCTGGTATTCACAAAAATCAACGAATCAATAAATAAAATTGTATAACAGCAGCAATAAAAGTGTAAAAATATCTATCTTAGATTGCAGAAGCAAATTGTCTGCACAGGCTAGGGTGACCAACCGTCCTCTTCTTTTGCACTTGTTGACTTGTAAAAGCATATAAAGACATTTTTTATTTCATAATTCATTAACCACACAGAGAAGGCATTGTCTAAATATGTTAACGTTTTCTTGAAGCAAACAGTATTTTTAAAGTTTTTAACGACTGGTCCAAGTGTCCTTTATGGAAATCAAAATATGGTCACCCGGGCTCATCAGTGTCCTCCTCAGTGATTATTGGTGATATTTTTGTTATCAGTTGTATATCAGCAGAATTCAGCTTAAAGGGGGACAGTGATTTATTGGGGAGCCTGGACCCTTGAGGTCCAGCTATAACCCCAGCACTGTGGGAGAGGAACGTTATGACCTACAAAACTAATGTTTAAGTATGCATGTGACACCAGTGACTGAAGAAGATGTTTCATTTATACAGCAGCCATCCCAAGGCAAGATCAAAGTACAGTTAAAGTAAAGACCCCACAGCACCAGACAGAGAAAACCACAATGATCAGATGATCCCTTAAAGCAGCACTTGGCAAGCACGGGGAAGAAGAGCTTCCCTGTGCCATAACTGCCATAACTGCAGAACCAGCTTCAGATATTGTCATTCATCACTTACATGTTTCAGATCATCAAAAAAATGCAATAAAATTACTTTTAACAAGGCTTGGCTGGATTTTTCCTCTTAATAAAGAAAAACATAAATCGAATTTGTTTCTACTTGGATTAGCTTTGTGTTAAATATATTAAAATGTATTTAATGATCTTAAAAAGTGTGACAAAAAGAAAAGTAAGTTATTGTCATGTACATCCTCTCTCACTTCTCTAAATCTGTTAAACTGGTAAATCTCTTCTTCAAACTGTCTCACAGTTAATTTTAAGATTATGTTTCTTTCCGCAATTTTATGTATGTTCTACTAAACGTGCAATATTATTTTATTTAGTTATTTCTAAATTATTTCTGTGAAAGTCTAAAAAGGTGCTATGTAACTTCCATACTAATTTACTTAAATGTATTATTTATGTTTGAAAATCTCACCGGAAATGCGCCGGTCGTGTCAGCGCTAGCTTGTTGCTCGATGCAGCAGCAGGAGCAGCCTGCATGGTGATCGTCACAGAGAAAGACAGTAGAAAAGAGAGGGGCTAAAACGAGAGAGGAGGACTCACCGCTCCCGGCCTCCGCTCATGCATGCGGACAGCGGCCTCGGACCGGACGGACGGACAGCAGGACCGCGAATCACCGGAAACATGGCGGCAACAACAAGCTGCTCGGAGCCTTAGCGTCCACAAATCAGAGGCAGGAGGCGAGCGGAGGAGCATCACCTATGCAGGTCACCTCAGACATCTCTCTCTGTTGATGTGTCTGTGCCGAGCCAATGCCCGGCATGTGCTACTGTATTTACTTTATTCTTGTCAGTCATTAATAATCTTGTGCTCTGTATCTACTGTGCAGCATCATCATTGAACCTCTTATTTTTCACACGTTTTTAAATGTCCTCCTTTCTTCCATTACTCTGATCTTGCTGTCCAACAGCAGCATCATGTGTCTGTCCTGGTGCCATCGTGAGTGAAGCAGACAGTAAAAGTGCTCCTGAGGCCTTTTAGTCCACAGTGCATTAATGCAGCAGTGATAACAGAACAAAGCAACGTGCTGCACATTTATCAGGAAGCTATCATAAAAACACAGTCTGACACGTTTATTATGAGTCTTTACTAAACTAGACTGCAGCTTAACATTTTATTTTTTGTTCTAACACGTTTGCTCCAGTTTCCTTCATTAAGAGTTTATTTTAGATAAACTGTGAAAGAAAGAGTGGACTGGATGTGTATGAACCCTGTGTTTACTGTATATATTCCTTTCCACAGAAGCAATGAGGTGAGCGCTGAAAGCAGCATCCTGTTTCAAACCATCAATACGATCAACGCACTAAGACGAGCCATGGCCTACAAGGTAATGTGCTCACTTCGCCCTCTCGGGTCATCTGCAGTGTTTGCTCTGAATCCTCCGAGCGATATAAATCCGTCCTCTCTGAGCCTGTGTTTGAAATCTCAGCCTCTCTGCGCTCAGAAACGTGTGCTTTGTGATGAAGCTGACTCACAGAGTCAGCAGTAGTACCAGCAGCAGATGCTGTGGGTGTCGAGTTTCATTCACACAGCTTCAGCTGCGCTGAGTATCAGTACAAACATCACAGGGGTGGCACAGCAGCTGTTATAGTAAACAGGAAGCAGCGCAGCAGCGAGGTGTTTGTTCACAAAGCAAAACCGTTTCTGCGTCTGCAGGATCGATCCATCGACCGTCAAACTGCACAAAAGTTCAGTAACCTTCAAACTATGACTGTAGAAGTACATGAAGATGTTAAGACCTTGATCTATGCCCTTCAAGTTTCATTGGAAGTCTGTCGTACTAATGAAGCTCAAATATGTAACATTAATTAAAAAAGGCCAGATTTCACCGTGCACCCTGTTTCCAACCAGCCGGGAACGTGTGAGGATTTTGCTCATTTAGAGTCAAACCAGTGAGAGCTGCGTTAAACTGCTGCGCCTGTGTTCAGTGAGGATTTCAGGAGATGTGATCTGAGGCGTAAATGTCCCACTGCAGCCGACCAATCAGCTGCTGTGCGCTGTGACGCCGCTGCCAACCTCCCTCAGCGGACGGATTAAAACACGCACCCGCCGGCCTTTTTAATCACGGGTAGTTTATGTGTTCATATCTCCTTGCATGACACACACACACGATTCTGCTCTCTGTGTGAGGAGCAGCTTGATTTTGTGATCTCGTGAAGAGAGAAGAGGCCATTTTGTGTCAGTCTTCACTTCCTGGCATCTTTAAAGAGCCGTTTCAGCTCCAGAGTGAGTATCTTCTCAAAGATGCGTGTGTGTGGGGGGGATTTGTCTTAACATCTTTAATCAGATGCCCTATCACAACATCTGTTTGCAGTCAGCAGCACTAAACTGATGCTGCCTCCGTTCACGGGATCATGTTGGAGGCTGGATAAGCTGGTGACCTGCAGATGGACGAAGCCGCTCGGATGCAAAACGCCTCAGATGCTAAAAACTTTTTATTTAATAAAACCTAAAATGAGCAAATAAGGAAAATCATCAGATTATTATCACCAAATTATTTCACAATAAGAGCGTTTGTGGGAAAGCACCCACTGCTGTGGCGCTGACACCTCCAGCTTGATTTCTAAGTGCGAGTGAATGAAGGCTGTTTCTCGCCGAGCGGCTCGCACTGAAGACACGCTTCATAATTTGACGTGAACGTGTTGAAACAAAGTGTGAGCACAGACAGATGCTACGTCCACACTAACTCGGATAGATTTAAAACGGTGTTTTCGTCTGAAAGCACTCGGCGTCCACACGGCTGAAAACGCTTACGTTCCAGTCCTGCACATGAAACGCAAAAGCGAGTGAGAATCAAAGAGTTTGATCTGTAGCACGTACAGACTGATAATAACCTTTAATAGGGCTGTCAGAGCTGAGAGCAAACACAGCAACTGCTGCCCTCCGCTGTCGTAGTTTAATTGGTCACATGACTGCATCATATGACTAACACGCGTCATCGTTTTCGAAAGTCTCCGTTTTCGCTGTCCACACTGCGACGTGAAAGCACCGTCTTCAAATGAAAGCGTTTTCCATCTCAGTGTGGACGGACAGAGAGGGCTGACGCAGAGACAGGCAACCATATTCACACCTGATTCAGTTACCAATGAACTGTCACGTGTTAGCGCTGCCACCGGCTGCCGACCTGTCCAGATTTCATTTATTTATTCATAAAGCACGTTTAATAACAACAGGGAGCTGACCAAAGTGCTGCACAGAGTAACAGTTAAACAACGACAGGTAAGAAAATTAGGATAAAAGAATTGGTAACTCTCACACAGTTTCAAAAGCCAGAGTAAAAAACTATGTTTTAAGATGCGATTTAAAAAGAGTGACAGTTGGGGCCTTTCTAATGTGGAGAGGTAGATCGTTCCACATTTTCGGTGCCACAACCGCAAATGCCCGATCTCCTCTATGAACCATCCTAGACTTACGTAAGGTAAGGAGCAGGTGATCGCTTGATCGAAGGGCTCTAGACGGCGTATACAGCTGCAATAGGTCAGACAAATAGTCCGGTGCCTGGCCAATTAGCACTTTATTAGTCAAAAGTAAGATTTTGAATTTAATTCTAAAACGCACTGAAAGCCAATGAAGGGAATCAAGCACCGGAGTAATATGTTGGTGTTTCTTCACACGAGTCAAGAGGCGAGCTGCAGCAAGTTGGAGCCGGGCTGAGCTGGACTGACTGACACCCACATACAGTGAACTGCAGTGATCCAGCTGAGTTAAAACAAATGCATGAATTGCTTGTTCCAAGTTAATAAAAGATAAAAAAGATCTCACTTTGGATAGGAGCCTTAATTTAAAAAAGGACCGCTGGACAGCTGAATTAATTTGTTTCTCAAATGTAAGTTTGCTATCCAAGAACACCCCCAGGTTTTTTACATGTGTTTTAACAGCACATGTTAGGTTGCATAAGTCCAGATCTGGGGCATTGAAATTACAGCTCGGTCCAAAAATAATTACCTCAGTTTTATCCTCATTGAAGGTAAGAAAATCTGAGGACATCCAGGTTTTAACTTCGTCGAGACATTTGATTCCATGGGCGTGGAGGTGTTTCTATTAAACCGAAGATAAATCTGGGTGTCGTCGGCATATGAGTGAAAGCAGATGTTATGCTTCCTAAAGATTAGGCCTAGGGACAACATGTAGATTGAAAAAACAATTGGGCCTAATGTGGAAACCTGCGGGACAGCACAAGTAAAAGGAGCTGGGGAAGAAATAAAATCATCAAGGCTCAGGGGAAAAGTCCTGTCGGAGAGGTACGACCTAAACCATTCCAAGCGGATACCTTTGATACCACATTGCTCCAGATCAGAATGCTGTGGTCAGCAGGATCAAAGGCTGCAGTTAAGTCTAGGAGCTGGAGCACAGCTAGGTCTCCTGAGTCAGTGATTAATAAAATATCATTAAGTATTTTTAGGAGGGCAGTTCCTGTGCTGTGGTGGGTTTTGAAGCCCGGCTGGAACTTCTCAAAAATATTATGACTATTTAGAAAGGTTTGTAGCTGCACTGGCTGCACTACAGCGTGCTTGTATCCAGCTGGTACCACTCCAGGGCTGAGACTATTAAAAATAGTTAAAATGTCGGGACCGACTACCTTAATAATCTTTTTTAGAAAATGGGTCGGGACTCCATCTGAAGGGCAGGATGATGTCTTTATGCTATTGCAAAGATCTTCCACCTGGTTAAGACATACAGCCTCAAACTGGTCAAAAGCAGTTGAGGAGGTATATGTTAATGAGACATTATACAGAGATGGGGTAGATGTAGATCGAAGCCTTTCTATCTTATTAATAAAAAAACTGCAAGAACCTATCGCAAGTTTCAGTGGAGCTATCTATATGGAGAGCGGGGGAGGTATTGAAGACCGAATCAATAACTGAGAAAAGAGAGAGCCCCCCCCGCGACCCTGAAAAGGACAAGCGGAGGAGAATCCGGTTGTTAAATGATGACGCGACGAATCCTACTTCCGGGTCTAAAGTAGTCTGCGTTTAATATGGCTTTTGTGTTGTTAACATGTTTAATGTTTTGTATTTTCTTCTATTTGATCTCAAAAAGCTCCTAAAACAGTCAGTGATCACTGTTGACCTCCCTCGGCTTTTATTACCGCTAATCATTTATTTAAGCTCAGTCTTTAAAACCTTAGGATGTAACTACAGCCCAGCCCATGCAGCAGTATATGAATGACTAACCTCGTATTGTGGATGGATTATCTCAGTTGTTCTCCAGGCTGAAGTTTGGTCCTTTTACAGCATCCTGCCATGCGATTACATTTGTTCCTGACCACCGAGAACACTCACGTTAACTTTTATCAAGTGGAAAAAAAGTTAGCTTGTTTATATTATGCTAACATAGCTGTGTCGCTAGCGGTCACGTAGCACATCATTATATACCAGCCCAACTTCAGTAACCCTACAAACGTCACTGCTGTTTAGTTTCTGTCTTCATTTATGTTGGAAGTGATAACAGAGCTGTACGTTTGAATTTGTTTCCAAAACCCCGCAGTCAGGACATGCTATATTGTATTTAGATAGAAGCTAGCGAGCTAACTTCCTGCTAACTTCTAACTCCGTTACCGGTAAATGTCATAAATTCCGTTTTCATGGATGCCTGGATGTTAAACTCAATTGTTACACCTGGTAGAGCAGAACGCTGATCATTTTATTAAAGATGAAAGACTTTAGACAGTTTTTAACTCTCAGTAATGCCATAGTGATCGTTTGATATATGGACCTGCAGCGGAGTTTAGACCCAGACACGGCTAGTGACGTCAGACTGAACGACCGGATAGATGGATAGAAATTTAAGCTGAGGTTATCGTGGGTGATGATGTACGACACAGCCTAGGACTGGTTGATATGACCCAAAATTCATATCTCGATATTCTTTAGCTGGATGGCGATATACGATATATATCTCGATATTTTTTTAAAGCCATAAAATAAGAACAAACAGAGAGTTTAGTCACACTGTGTCCCAGATGTCACACAGGCACTTTAATTAACATACAGCGTAGATGTACATGAAAAATTACTCAAAAATAAATGATCAGCATTTATTAAACAATAATGATCCGTAAATAAAAGAAAACAATGTTGTTTTTGTGCATAACAAAGAGCTCACAACTGTGCAGTCAAATTGTAAACTAACAGACGCTGAGCATAATAACAAAGGTTTCACAGCTGCTCTGTTCCCAACTTGTACTGCGTGACTGACAGCCTGGAGTTTGAAATCCTCTTCGTAACCACGGCGCTTACAGGTGCCATTTATGGTCCTTATAAACACACAATACGGTAATATTACGTTGAAGCACAGTACGTATCACTCCGCGAGGCTCCTCGGTAG